TGTCCTCCACTATTTGTGCAAAGGTTTCGCCTAATTTTTTTTTACCTTTTCATTGAAAAGCGTAAAATTTTGAGGGGTCATTTTTTTTGAAACTTAAAAACCCGGAAGAAAAAACTCAATATAGAATCACAAATAAAATTTGAAAAAGTTTTGCACACAAATTGTTTTTTTTGCCGCATATAAATATATACACCTTTTTAAAATTTCATAGAAAATAAAGCAAAGGGTTTACATTCCCAGCCACTACATTTCAGCCTTGGATTTACGAAATGACTCCTATGAGTGATTACCCTACCATGCAACCAGAGCCTACTTTCAGTCGTGTGACGGCAGGTCGCATAGCAGAGGTTAATTGTGGTAACCACCGTTCTGCGAAGCAGCAGCGTGCGTCATGTCATCATTCCCGTTCCATGAATACTGCAATTTCGCAATCTATCAACAATAGCGTGAACACTACCGCAGGGACTGCCCCTACCTCTTGTTCTCGTTCCGCTATTCCTGCTGCTACACAACAACGGCACACAAACTTTCAAAATTCTGCCATTACCAATGATGGCATGATCCCTTCGGCATTTGCGCAGCCTGTATACAGGCCTTCTGTATCCATTAAATACTCCCAGTTTATTGACATCGCCACGAACATCGGCTACATGACACCCTTTGAGGTACCTGAGGGGAATACTCTTTTGAAGGGGCCCGCATCTACACCCGTTGACGCTTCGTCTGCGGGGCTCAAAGAGAAAAGCCATACCACCAATGTCGACCAAATTAGTACCAGCGGTAGTTTCGAGGAGCCTTCCGCGGCTGTTTCACACAACATTATTCGTGCAAATCCACAGTCCGCATGCAATTATCCAACTTCTCAGCAGCTGCTGTCAGCCCCGGCGTCAGCCCCACGACAGGCGCTGTGGCCCCAGCGGACCGTGTCGCCGCAGCCGGCCACGCAGTTCTGTCAAAACCCACGAGAGCGATCCAACCACAGTAGCAGGAGCGTAGAATCCAAGAGCAAGGAGGAGTCGGTGGTCATTGAAGAGAAAGATAACCACCTTTCCACACATACTGACGTACTGTCGGCAACAGTCGCCCGCTCGCTATCTCCACATCCCGCACCCAAGCGTCGAGGCACCGGCGCGGTGGAGATGGCGTCTGGCCTTGCTCTGGACGGTACCCCTCTACACCAAACCACCAAGCTTCGCGCGGGTTCCCACCAACAGCACACAAATGCCTCTATCCTCTCTTTTTTTATGGGCATGACTGCGTCCACAAAGACAGTGAACACGCCCATGGCTCAAGACGCGCGTTGCGCTTACCACCACCACGCTGAAGGAGACGAGGACGATGTAAGGGTGTGCTTGAATTCGAAGCTCGTAACCCCGCAGGGGTCACGCCTCCTTCCGGATGACAGCAGTTGCGGCGTGGGCATGGTCAACACCCCGACTCTCGCTCGTAGTCTTCTGACGGAACCGAACTCAGGTGTAGGTAACCCTAAACCCACTAAGGAGCCGACGACAACTGCCACAACGCATCTGAACGGTGTTATGCAAAAGTTGCTTCACCATATCCAAACAAAAAAGACACTCGAGCATAGGTCGACAACCGATTCTACTTATGCTCAAGAGTTTTCTGAGGTGTGTGTGCCATCGTCTGCATCGATAAATTTTGCCTCGGCCGCTACTTGCTCGGTATCGGGCCTTGAAGCTAGGAATGAGACCAAATCAAGCGACTTAGCGGTGGACTTTCACGCTAAATCAAGCCTCGCTCCGATCACAGAATTCAACAGACAGGGAATGCAGCGTGGCGGATCCCGTCAAAACACTGGCAAAGAGGGCCGGCAGCCGCCAAGACAGAAGCATCAGCGTGATAAAAAAGGAAGTCAGCCTGATGCCATTCTTCGGGTTCGCCCCCCAGCGCAACCAAACACCCGGACCAACGAAATGCCCGTCAACGAAAAGACCACCACCCGGTGGCTTCACAACTGCGATGACAGCAAGAACGCCAAAGGGAACGGCGACTCGATCGTCAGTCGGTCCCTTCAGCCATCTTTGGATTTAATGAGCACTCCCGCCTTGCAGGGCCCCACCGACATTGTTGAGCCCCGTCCCGCGAATCTCCGTCGCACTCCGCAGCCCCCGCCCTCCGCCTATCCCATGGAGGCCTCCTCTTCCTCGATCGCGTCGCTGCGGGCTTCGGTCGAAAGTCCCTCTCCGCAGCCCGCCTTCCCCCCACGGCCGCGTGAAAAAAAGCGTCCGGGGATGGACCTGCCCTCCCCCCAGCTGGACCCCTCCACGGGCGATCCCAAGATCTACTCCATCCTCCTGGAGGGGCACATGCAGCAGCGGGTTGTCGCCTTGTCCTGCGTGCCCTTCGCGTCTGAGGTTTGCGTGCTTTTCGAGGGCGATCGCGGGATGGATATGGGGCGGGTGGTGAGGTGTGAGGAGGCGGACGAAACGCTTGGCATGGCCAAGGAGGGCGATCCCAAGGCGGGCAATGAGAAGCCGAAGAAAAAGCGCTCCCACCCGTTTGTCCTTCGCATCGCGACCACGGAGGAGCAGAACGATTGGCTGTACAAGCAGGTGGAAGAGGCGCAAAGGACGATCCAGCCCTGCCGCGAGGCCGTCGAGAGCCTCGGCCTCCCGCTCACGATCGTCAATGCGGTATACCAATTTAACCAAGAGAAATTGACCTTTTACTACGAAAGCGACGTGCGGGTGGACTTTCGGCAACTTTTGCAAGTGATGTTCGCAAGGTTTTATTGCCGAATCTGGATGGAGCGCGCCACCCCATTGTCGCCCACCCCTGCAACCGGAGGCGAAGACAGCACTGACGATGAAAAGCCCACCACTAGTTGCAACAGCTAACTTTACAGTTCACTCTTTTTTCACTTTTTCTAATCTTCTTTCCAATATTTAGTTATATACAATTATGTATCGTGCTTTTCTATTAGTTTTAATGGTACTTATGTTTCATTTAACTTATTAATATTCAACATAGACGGGGTTCACGGTAAAGCGCTCGTGCTGCTTTATTTCCCACGACACTTGCTTTTTTTTACTTTGTTACCTTCCATTTACAAGCGTCATTTTTCTTTTCTGTTGCAGAAACACCTTCGGGAGTGAAGAGGATCCCTTTCTCAGAATTGTGAGAAAGGGAGTTTCATGTCACCTGATTGACCTATAACTGGTAATTTGTGTTCACTTTCTTTCTAACGTCACCACTGAAAAGTTTGCCTTGAATATTCCGTGCTTTGATGTCACGCCCGTTGTGATTCCTCGAAGAGGGTGAGAGGACTTGGCTTAAATAGATGAACTAATTTCTTAGATCTTTCGTTTATAGTTTAAAACTATCTACTATGATAACGCATAGAAAAGAACGCGCTGTGAACCTATTTTTGCTTTACAGAGCCACTCATTTTGCCAAGCTTTCCAAAGTCTTTCTCATCAATTTATACGTATCAATGGAAAAGCACCAAAAGGCTCAAAAATGTGAAATTTATGTAATAGCGCCGATTACTCAACTCATATCAATACAAAATGTGATTAAGTAACAAGGTGTAGTAAACACAAAGAAGATAATCACATGCACTAATCACTATAGAAAACACATGTGGCAATATTTAAAATTAATTGTCGGAGATCATGCACAGAGCATGTTCTGTGTATATCATATTCTTTCTTATCTTATCGAACGAAGCGATTACGATACAATGAAGTGTTCTATGCTTCCTTCCTCCACCTTTTTTTTTTGTAGTTCTGCCTGTCGATTCCTTTTCGGGACTGTTTTTGGATCCGCTAGAGCTCCACGACAACCTTTCCGATATTTTTTCGTGCATACATGTGGTCAATAGCAGTATACACCTTTTCAATACCCTTGAATTCTGTTGGGTCGACGAAGCTTTTAATCACACCTTGTTCGTAAAGTTCGCACAACTCGTTAAAGTGCTTGGTTTTGTATTTGTCAAAGTGTGGGAGGAAAAAGGTATGCAGCGTGGCGCTGTGCGAGAGCAGTGCCAGGTTCAGAACGCTCGGTTTCCGTAGTGTCTGTGCGTTACTTTCCTCCTTGTAATCGACGATACTACCGATGGATAAGATGCGGCCTCGAAACGCCATGGCCCGCCCGACCGCTTCAAGCACGTCGCCTCCCACTGATTCGT